GAAAATCCTGTTTTGGTTCTTTATCTCAGTCCATCTCCAAACTGTCATCCCAAATTCATGCCCTTAATCTCTGTGAGGAGTCAAGAAATCTTTCCCCTCGAGAGATTCAGCTTAGATCTGACTTGAAAGATCAAATTCTCTCCCTGGCCAAAGCTGATGAAATTAAATAGAAACAAAGGTCCCGCATTCAATGGCTGAAAGAAGGAGACAATAACTCTGCTTTTTTCCATAAAGTTGCTTCATATCACCGCAGAAAAAATTTTATTCCCCATCTCATTATCAATGATTCCATTATCTCATCTGACAGTGCCATCAAAGAAACTTTTTTCTCCTTTTTCTCCAATCTCTTTGACCAACCTCAAGCTTCAAGACGAAGCAGACACAGGGGGTCCCCCAGATCTGATCACAGTCTCTTTCAAAGGTATCTCTATCAATATATCCAGAGAATCATGGGCCACACTCAACGCTGCCTTCCCCAACCTAGAAGATGATTCTACTCTCCCCCACAAAGCAGATCGAGCCATCAAGATTAGCTCTTCAGACTCGACGGACCATGTCTCAACCTCTGACCCACCTCCAGGATTTGAGAATGTAAAAAGTAAATCTAAGAGGATCAAAAAGAAAGCCAGCAGTGGACTCCACATGACTCTGCCTTTCAAGAAGCATCTCTCCAAGATGAAGAAGGGTAAGCACTCAGGTATATCTAAACCTAAATCATCATCCTCTGTCTCCACTCCCCCCATCCATTCTAGTGAGCTGGAGAAATTAGAGGAAATCTCTGTTAATTGTGGTATCCAAGAACCGATAGACCCGCTAGGACTGTTTAAAATTCATAATTTGATGTCTGGAGTAGCACCTTCTTCTTGAGTATCCCTCTCCTTCCAAGTTGCATCAAGTCTGTCTTTATGCGTATAGGTTCCTGGAACGTTAGAGGTTTAAACAACCCATCCAAACGAAGATTGGTCAGAGAGTGCCTATCCTTGGCCAAAGTAAATCTTGTTGGTTTGCAAGAATCGAAATTGTCTTCCCATAGCTCCTTCCTCCTAAAATCCCTGGGGGGAGAAACATTACATCTTGGATTTCTCTCGACGCCCTTGACTCTAGAGGCGGTGTTCTATTAGGGTGGGATGATGATCTTTACTCCTGTTCTTCCTCATCATCTGACATCTTTTCTGTATCGGCCACTCTAACCCACAGACCAACTAATTGGAGTTTTGTAGCTACATCCATCTATGCTCCATGTGACTCGTCTGAAAGGGAAGTTTGCTGGTGGGAACTAGAAAGAATTAGAGGCTCCCATGCTCTCCCATGGGTGGTTTTCGGAGATTTCAACATGACCCTTAGCTCTGATGAAAGAAGTGGTCGTTCTAGTTCTATCCGAGACATCAAAGTTTTCCAAAAGCTCATTGATTCTATCAATCTCTTAGATCTTCCCCTTAGTGGGAGGAAATTCACTTGGTCTAACCATAGACCCTCCCCATCGCTTGCTAGATTGGACAGATTCTTAGTATCCTTGGATTTTGAATCTAAATTTCCTCATATGGTCCAGTTCGCCTTTCCTTCTGTGTGCTCTGACCACTGCCCTATCATGTTAGATACTAACTCCTCCTCTTTCCTTTCCTCTCCTTTCAGATTTGAAAAGATGTGGTTATCTCTCCCATCCTTCCCAATTTTCATAGAATCCAGCTGGAAATCACTTTCTCTGAAAAATGATACCCAAGTACCTCTTTATTTCAAACTCAAACTCATCAAAAAAAGAATAAAATGGTGGAGAAAATCCTGTTTTGGTTCTTTATCTCAGTCCATCTCCAAACTGTCATCCCAAATTCATGCCCTTAATCTCTGTGAGGAGTCAAGAAATCTTTCCCCTCGAGAGATTCAGCTTAGATCTGACTTGAAAGATCAAATTCTCTCCCTGGCCAAAGCTGATGAAATTAAATAGAAACAAAGGTCCCGCATTCAATGGCTGAAAGAAGGAGACAATAACTCTGCTTTTTTCCATAAAGTTGCTTCATATCACCGCAGAAAAAATTTTATTCCCCATCTCATTATCAATGATTCCATTATCTCATCTGACAGTGCCATCAAAGAAACTTTTTTCTCCTTTTTCTCCAATCTCTTTGACCAACCTCAAGCTTCAAGACTTTCTCCTAACTGGGGTATTCTATACCCAAACAATAATTTTGATCTATCTTCTCTTGATCTTCCCTTCTCTCCCCAAGAGATCACAGAGGCTGTTTTCGACCTCAACCCTAACAAATCTCCAAGGCCCGATGGGTTCCCCATTCTTTTCTTTCAAAGATTTTGGTCAGTTGTTCAAGCCGATGTTTTTGAATTTATCCAAGGGATATATTCTCATCCTTACCTTTTAAATAACATCAATTACTCCCACATTTGCCTTTTACCCAAAAAAGATGGTGCATCTTCTCCTAAAGATTTTCGTCCTATTAGTCTCATCAACAGTTCTTGTAAGATCTTTTCCAAAATTTTGGCTAACAGACTTAAAAAAGTCCTCCACCATCTTATTGATAACTCTCAATCAGCCTTCCAAGCTGGGAAATCATCACTGGATTCCTTTCTCCTAGGTCACGAAATGGTCAACTTCTGCTCATCGGGGAAAAAAGAAGTATGTGCTTTTAAGGTAGACTTCTATAAGGCCTTTGATTGTGTGAACTGGTCTTTCCTTCTGTCCCTCCTCAAAGCTAGAGGCTTTGGCCCCCAAATGGTGCCTTTGGATCCAATATATTCTATCCTCCTCCAAATCAGCTGTTTTAGTTAATGGCTCCCCTACTAAATTCTTCCGATGCTTCAGAGGTCTCAAACAAGGCGACCCCTTATCACCCCTTCTCTTCCTTTTGGTGGCCGATGTTCTCAGTAAACTGCTGAATCGCAGTGCAGCTTCGGGGGATTTATCAGACCTCAATTTGAAAGGGCAACTAAATTCCATCAGGTCTATACAGTTTGCGGATGATACTATTATTTTCTCCAAAGCCACCCCCTCTGATATGGCCACTCTAAATACCATCCTCCACATTTTTGCAAACATATCTGGCCTTTGTGTTAATCCCCTTAAATCAAATCTTTTTTACCTTGGCAAAACCCCTCACAAAGGAAAAATGCTAGCTATAAGATCCTCAACTGTTTAGTTAGCTCTCTCCCATTTTCATATTTGGGACTCCCCCTCAAAAGAGGCTCTCTATCCAAAAGAGAGTGGCAATCTCTTCTTGAATCATTCACAAAGAAGTTTTCGCTATGGAAAAACAAAACTCTCTCCATTGGTGGAAGGTTAACTCTTTTAAACTCTGTCTTATCTTCTCTCCCTATATACTATATGTCATTTTTTAAGCTGACACAGTGGTTAATCAAATCTATAGACAGAATCAGAAGAAACTTCCTTTGGAATGGTAGCCAAAATCATTCAAAAATTAAATGTCTTATCAATTGGGGTAAAGTCTGTAAATCCAAAGATGAAGGAGGTCTTGGGGTCTTAGACATTGCAAACTTCAACAGGGCTCTTCTTTCTAAATGGCTATGGAGAATTTTTGATAGAAATTCACACATTAGCAAAGTGTTTTTCTCTGTCTACTCCAAAGATGGGTCAAATTCTTTTGCTCATCCCATAAAGAGCACAACTTCAAGTTTCATCAAAGACCTATCCTTTATTCATCCAACTTTTTTAACTTGGTTAAATGGAAAATTGGTGACGGTATAACTGGCAGCTTTTGGCATGACAAATGGTCTTCGGCAAACTCCCTCTGCAGCTTATTTCCAAAAGCTTATAAGTTAGCTCTCTCACAGAGCTGCTGCATTAGATCCCAAGGTAGAATGATCAACAATGCTTGGTCTTGGCATCCTCTCATCCGAAGAGGAATTTCATCCCCAGAAAGGTCAGATCTCAACCACCTCCTCTCTCTTCTAACATCTTCCAACATTAGTATCTCTTCGGATCCAGATGAACTCTGGTGGATGCTCCTACCATCGGGGATTTTCTCAGTTAAATCCTATTACTCCTTCGTCAACTCAGGGGGCATTAAATCCAATTTCTCTAATATGATTTGGAAATCTCCTAATCCATCCAAGGTAAAAGTGCTATTCTGGATTATCTCCAACAAGAAACTGAACACGAAAGCAAACTTGATCCTCAAGGGTTGGACAGGCGACCCGAGATGTCCTTTCTGCAAATTGGATGTAGAAACCCATGATCACCTTTTCATTAAATGCTCATTTGCTAGTGCTATCTGGTCCTTCATCCTTCCCTCTTTTCCCACAAACTGCTGGCCACAGACCATAGAGGAGCTGATACTGTTCCACAAATCTCCCAATCTGTGCACGGACATTAAAATTATTTGGAAATTTCTGCTGTCTTGTACTTGCTGGTGGATCTGGTTTAGTAGAAATGATCTTATTTTCAAGGATAGTCAATCAAATCCTCTTCACATTGCTTCTAATATTGGGAGATATACTATATTTTAGACAGGTGCCGTAGAGGAAAGGCTTGCGAGGAGACTGCGCAGGGCTTCTTCAAACCTTGGAATACAGGAGCTTACAAACAAGAATGTCAAGGCAGAAGGGGACAACCTTTCCCCATGTTCTCCTACCCAGGCCATTCCATAATCGCTGTTGGATAAGGATACCTTCCCTTATTTTGGAAAACTGTTGTTGTTTCCCTCTTTTACTAGGCTGCTTATATTGGAAAACTGTTGTTGTTTCCCTTATATTGGAAAACGGTTGCTGTTTCGTTCTCTAGTAGGCTGCTCTTATCTTTTATTTGTAAGTATGTATATGTATCAGCTACTTATGTAGAATCGCTGCGGGTTTAGTTTGGTAGGTGACGACATATGTCCGCTCCTTACCTACTGCACTCTCACTGGTTCTACACCTAGTTGTGATGCTCTTTTGTAACTGTTTTTGGTTCTTAATAATATCGCTATATGAGCAGGGCTTTCAACCCTGCTTTTTCAGTTCAAAAAAAAGTATGTATGTAATCAACCCAATTCATATCTCCTTGAAGCTTAGCAGATATTTACTAACTTTCACTTTGCAAATGCCTGAACAAAAATTTGCACATTTGAAAATCCACATAAAGGGCTAGATATCATGAATTATTTGAGCTACTCTTTTTAGATTCTGTCATCCTTTTGTTATGAGCAAAGCACTAATGTTAACCAAATTTCAATCTCCCAGCTTCAGGAAGCTTCGATCTCTTTCATAAGGAAACCAAAAGTGAATGCTTGCTTTGCTGATCTTCATTAGGTTTACAAACATTTGAGTAGGGTTAATTCTGAGGATTCTTGACACTCCATCTGCCAACTTTGCCTTCCTAAAGTAAATTCAAGGTTAGGTAAATCTGCAAGCATGCTTGATTCAAAATGTGACGATGGGGACAAGCTTAGCCCAGTGCCTTCTTCACTTTCTCTTGGTGATGAATGGAGAGCTCCTTCATCGGCCTATATCAGCAAGGAAAACAAATAACATCAAGCAACCAGCTGTTACAAATTAAACACCTCTAATATTGCTATTGTATATGTTGAAATCAATACCATTCATAAGTTACTAGATACATGTTTTAGGGAAGTATTAATGTATAGTTTGAAAAAACATTCATAAGTTATTAGATAACAAGTTTTAGGGAAGTATTAATCTATAGTTTGAAAAAAGAAACATGACTAACTAGTAGCTTTCATGTAGGCGTATCACGTAGTAATTTAATTTTGAATTAAGCATAAATGGTAATCACAATTCAAAATTACATTCAAATTTTTAAAGATTTATATATTTTTTCAAATGCATTTCACATGCCAAAAGATCTAGTCCATATGCAGAGTAATATACCTTGATTAATTATATGAACATAAACTTGATATTTTAAGTATAAAATTCTGCATTCAGTCTCATTTAATGGCGTGCATTACAGAGCAATAATTAAGGGAAAAAAGTTATACTAAAAGTGCTCCAAGAGGATATACAGCAAATTTATTGTAAGCCAAAGTAAGTGTGATAAAAAGAAATTAATGTAAAAATTATTACCCTTTTTCCTTTCACTAGATATGCTTCGCATCTAATATTGGACGGTGATGATGTCTTCTGTATCATCAATGAATTCCAATCATTGTCTTCCATGGATGAGTAAGGCCAGCTGCATACAAATAACAGCTTAATTAAAATTATATTTAAAAATGAAACAATTTCTTTTTTTTCGTCAAATGATATGGTGATGATGCATTCGAAGTTCGCACTGAGCAATACAACCTAATATTAATATTTGTATCAAATAACAGAAAGAGAATAATTGCTACAGATAAATAAATACAAAAACGTATCTGATCCACTGTGCATTCTGAATTTGGTTGGCAAAAAATACATATATCAGAAATTAAAAGCTTATTTTCTATATAAATTCAAATAAATGCTGCAGCTTCAGGACAAAGCTGCTTGTTCTTACATAGACAACTGTCTAAAATTAAAAACTTGTTATTTTGTCTCTTCCCAATGTCAGTAGTTGATGACCATTATATGTTCCAAATCATAATGGAAGAGAAGAAGATAACTCTTTGGAATTAATCTGGCAGCCTAAGGACCAAATAAATGAGCAATAAATTTGAATCTCAGTTATATTAATTGATTTCACAAGTTTTTATACTTTCAGTCAGTCCTCCAATGGTTGTTTTCTATAGGTTGTAACTTTTGTGCTAGAAATCAAAAGAAATATCTACTAGATATTATAACGTGGTTTTGATGAGAGAGAGAGAGAGGGCATGGCCAAATAGTTCCTTCTCCACTTAGACTGATAGCATAAGGACTAATGGTATCACCGCCAGCAGCAATGAGGAAAAAAATAAATGAGAAGAAAAGGGAGAGAGCTTCAGCAAAAGATATCAAAATTGTAGAATAAATCTAAAATAAATGCACTCATCTAAGCATTGTGAATTGGATGCTAATTAAGCTCTTCTTAGTACGAAATATATATATAGGCTTATTGATATTTATTGAAGAAGCCAAGTTTATTTAGTCAATTATCTCCATGCATGTATTGGTTTTTTTTTTTTTTTTTGGTCAATGAAAAATTCTATTCATTTCCCAGTATGTGAATCTGTAAAGTACATCAAAACACCAGATTTACCCTGGTGATCACATTGTAATTGTAATAAAATTACATTCTCTCAAGTATTCCTTTCACATGCATGTATTGTTGTTATCAGAATGTTCAATCTTCATTATTAAAGTCTCCAATGTTATAAAAGAAATGTTTTTGTTAATTTCTTTTAACTTTTGATCTATGTAAGTCAATTGAAAATCTATACCCTCTAATTGTTATGTCAAACATATACTGGCGTATTACTAATTACAAGATATATTTGTTAATCAATTTATTTAAAGATTCTGTGTTTAGTATAGGAGGCTTCAACGTACATTACAAGTGATATATAGTACCAAATGATAAAAACACATGTGATCCTTTTATTCCTCACTGCATTGACCACAAATAATTCTAGTCAAATTAAGGGACACCAATTAATTTGGTATTCAAATCCCAAAATCAACTCAATCTCTAAGCATTCCATTTGCGTGTGCAGCATCATTCTGATGCAAAGACTTGAACACAAAGGCTATCAACCTATCCTATAATTAAATATTCACTTCTTCGACTATTCAAAACCATCACAATCTCAATCTAGGAAACAGCTCTATTATAAAAATTAATCTTACCGCAGCATTTAACAAATGTCTACATTTGAGCCTAAACCTGTCATTTTTTTATAGTCTCTATCGTTTGCCCAAACTCACATCTTGACTGCATTTAATCCGTATCCATATTCTATGCACAAGAGGAGTAGTTTATACAAGTTACTACATTGTCTAAACTAAGTGTTAAGCATTGATTATGTGAGATTGACGAGGACCCAACCGATTTTGACACGTGGTCCCTGTATGTGCTTTGAGATTTGTGAATAGAAGAACATATATATCTCAAAGGACATACTATGTACTAATGATTTTCTTCCTCTTCTTACGGTTGTGTTTGGCAACTCTTCCTTAACCAGATGACATGCTTGAGGGGTTAATTCCTGTTTGGAAAAAACTGGACCAGGATTGATACAGTTTTTTTAAGTTCAATTTTTGCGCACTAGGTTGGTTATATTTTCTTCCACCTCCTGTCAATAGTAGGCTAGTCAAGTTAGGATCACCTTGAACTTAGATTTTTCTATTATGAGATATCAATCTCATTAAAAAAAAATCTGTAAGGAGAAAATTAGGCTTAGAGAGAAACAAACCTAGGGGATCTGGGCAGTGGAGGTGTAAGTGGAGTTGGTATACTCAGAGAATATGGATGATCAACATTGACTCCTGCAGCTTGCTCAGTTGTCTGCACAATTTCCTCCACTTGATCTGATCCAATCCTCTGAATCTGGTTCAAACCCACAGCATCCTTTAGCCCTTGTCCTGCACCAAAAACCAAACTCAGTTTTTTTCATCATTCACCACTACGATATAAAAATTGGATTCTGTGCTCTCCCTCTTTCCACCAAAAACTATAGAAGACACAGACGTTACTTGAAGAAAAGGTTACAACTATTAGTAGAGCTGAATTATGAATAATATTTGCTGTTCTCAAACACTTGTGCTAAAAGATTGTTGATAATTTCTCTCTTTCAGAGATACCTCCAAGAAAATAATAATTCAAAATCTATAAGATTTAAAATTAAAAACAATACAAACCAATGGACTCAACAAGCATCTTGCCCCTCTCTTGACAGTGACAGGACCAAAGAGCTTTAAAGGATGAAAAAGACCAAATTACCTGCAGCTGCAGCTGCTGTTTTGTCAGTACTCTTCACTGTTCTATACATCTGCAACAAATAATAACAAAGGAAAGGATAAAAAAGAAAAACTCATGAAATCCATTCAGGAAATTGAAGTAGAACAAAGAAACGAACTTGAGAAAAACCAATTTAGATGCGCATTTTGTCTTTTAACTACTTTGCATTTCGCCCTTCCCCAAAAAAAACCCTAACCCTAAAACCATAAACAAGACAAGCTAGTCTGCTTCACTGCACCTGCAAGTGACTCTTAACGTGAGCCAGCGTCAGATCCTTCACGTTCATCAGCTCCAACACCGACTTTGGCGTCGCCCCTACATTGAAACCAAGGAAATTAAATACCCATATAAAATTACCCAAAAAAAAAAACACACACACACAGCCCCAAATTAATTAAGCTTCTTCATACTCTCATGGCCGCCAAGGAGCTCAACAGCGTGGACAAAGTGAGCATGGAGAGTAGTAGTCCACCGCATCCTCGGAGCCCGAACGCTCCGTTTCATCGATGATCGAGAACTCCTCTTCAATCCATAGATCTGAGGATGGTGAAGATGATTATTTTGCTGTTGTTGTTGATGATGATGATGATTAACTTGTTCCATTGAGTCTAGGCATAGGCTCAGCATGGGCTCACCGGGCACAGGAACGTGCCCGGTATCGCTACCGCTGCTGCCGGAGTCAGTCGAAGAAAGGGAAACTGAAGGTGGGCTGATCTGAAGAGAGAGGTCAGGGTAAATATCTGCACTAGTCGTGGCCATTGCTAGAGTTATCAAAGGGTTAATTTTGGAGAATAAAGTGGAGGGGGATAAATAGAAGTAGAGAGGAGTAGTAGTAGTAGTGATTAGGTCATGAGTGGGTTATGATTTTGTTTGCTACTTCCCATTAAGTTGTCAAAGGGAGGGAATAGAGTAGCTAGGGTTGTAGATTTAATGCCATAATAAAGGATGGAGAGAGAGAGAGAGAGAGAGAGAGAGAGAGAGAGAGAGAGAGAGAGAGAGAGAGAGAGAGAATGTGTGTGAGTATTTTGAGGAATCAGAGGTATAATTTGGTGACGGAGAGAATGAAAGATAATTTCCTTTTGTATGAAAATTTTGGGCATTGGAGGGGGTGACACAGAGCAGAGGATATTAAATGTAGAGAGAGAGAGAGAGAGAGAGAGAGAGAGAGAAGAAAAAGCAAGTCATTTGACGTCAATAGATAGAGACCTAATCCACCAACTATTTAATGTTGTTCGGTGTCCAGATGGGAATCGACTGGAAATGAAAGGAAACCGAGTTTAGGAACTGGTGAAAAATGTTTGAGAGAAAACAAGGAAATCATCGGTTAGAGATTTTGGGCTCAAGTCTGCCTGAACTCCCCAATTGACCTCACAGAATTAAGGCATTAGTCAGTTTCTAATCTAGGATAAATTAGGGAGGATGGAATAATCTTTTTTTTTTTTGTCAATGAAAAATTTTTATTCATTTACCAGTTTTGGAAATCAGCACCACAAAATACTCAGGAACTGAGAAAACAAAGAACTCCCTAACAGTTATTCACAACCTCAATTATTTACAAAGAAATCACCCACTCCTTACATTCTTCCAGAAAAGAGCCATTGAGGATAGTAGATAAGATGTTGATCTAAGATCTTAATATCCTTGAACAATTGATCAGTAGTTTTATTTTTTTGATTGAAGATTCTGGCATTCCTCTCAATCCAAATGCTGTAAATTGTAGAAACAAGAGTCATTTTCTTTATTTTTGTTTGAATCCCCCTCCCCTCAACCTGAAACAATACCAGCTTATGATTTGTCCCTACTGCAGGACCTCCACCTAAATTGCAACCAATCCATGACCATGATCTAGATATCCCTCGAGAAAGCAAACTCAAAGAAAATATGATCTTTGCTCTCAGTACCCATGCACAGGCAACAACAATTATTGTTCACTATCCCCCAATTGATAAGTTTGTCTTGAGTGAGCAATCGATTCTGGATTGCTAACCAGCAAACAAAAGGATACCTGGGGTTGTTGATGGTCTCCCAAACAATGTTATGCCAAGACACTGAAGAAGAAGCAGGGGAGAGTGCATTGTATAAAGCTGATATTTGAATTTTTGAATTCCTATAGCATGATTGAATGAGTAGCTTCATGGAATCAGCACCACCATATAATCCCAAAGCCTTGTCTCTAACTTTCAAAATCTATTTCCATATCCAAGAATCCCCATTTTTAGATTGAATTTTCCAGATATCATTATGCTTTAAATATGTACCATGAATCCACTTTATCCACAAATTTTCCTTATTAACATGGATATGCGAAAGGATATCAGAATTGAAGCCATGTTTCAAGTTGCAGCCGAAAAAATACCTAGACCACCATTCTTTTTACTCAAGCAAACTTTATCCCACGAGACAAGAGGAATTTTATGAACCTGTTCAGATTTTCCCCACAAGAAGTTCCTGCACATTTCATCAATTTTCTGAAGCACTTTTACTGACAAGAGATAATTTGATGTCCAATAGATTTGTATACCAAGAATAACACTCTTGATTATCTGCAGTCTACCTGCATATGACAGCCCCCTATTCTTCAAATAGGACTAAAATTGTCCAGAAATTTAACTGAGGAGGGGAGAACAATCCATGTAGGAAAGCCGCTTACAAATCATAGGAACTCCAAGATATTTTATAGGTAGGGCACCTACTGAGAAACACAGGTAGTTGTTTACAGTGCTTTTAAAAACTTCATCAACACCACCATAGAAAATTTTGCACTTCTCTGGGTTAGCTTCCAGCCCAGCAACAACACTGAAATCTTTGAAACAATTGAAGAGCCTCCTCACTGAATGTAAGTCTTCATTAGAAAAAAGAAGAAAGTTATCTGCAAAAATTAGATGAGTGATCTTAAGCTCACAACACCTTGGATGATATCTGAAAGACCTGTCCTCCTTAAGCATATCCAAATTTCTAGAAAGATATTTCATTTCCAAAATGAATAAGTAAGGTGAGAGAGGATCACATTGTCTTAAGCCTCTTTGCCCTTTGAAGTAACCATGCAATGAGTCATTTAAAGAAATTGAGAACTTTGGAGAAGATATACATGCCATGATCCTGTTTATCATCTTGACAGGAAACCCAAGACCATTTAGCATTTCATTTGTAAAATCCCAATTAATAGTATCAAATGCCTTTTTAATGTCAATACTTATCATAATCCTAGGAGATATATGTTTTCTGATATAATTCTTCACTAACTCATGGGCTAGTAAAATATTGCTTGAGATCTGCCTACCCTTCACGAAGGCACTCTGAGCTTCATTGACCAGATAACCCTTACAGGCTTTATCCTGTTAGCTAAGATTTTTGATATCATCTTGTAGAGACAATTGCAGCAAACTATTGGCCTGAAATCAGCCGGGGTTTTTGGACAAGTCACCTTAGGAATCAAGGCATCAAAAATTACCTATAGGTCCCCGAACACAGTTCGAGACAGAGAGAAGACGATGAATGTCATAATCCGAGTCAAGAAAAATTATCCGAAGTCGATAAATATATGAAGCGAATCGGCGAACCGTTGATGACGTAGCAACAAACTACCGGAATGGCCATCGCCAAGTGGCCCACATTCTCGTCGGCCACCGCCAAGTGGCCCGCATGCTCATCAGCCACCAGAATGGCAAATCAAGTGGCCTGCTCGCTCATCGGCTACCTACAAGTGGCCCGCGCACTCGTCAGCCAGTTCCAAGTGGCCCGCGTGCTCACCGGCCACCACCAAGTGGCCCGCATGCTCATCGGCCACCAAATCGGCAAACCAAGTGGCCCGCGTGCTCACCGGCAACCACCAAGTGGCCCGCACATCCATCAGTCATAAAATCGGTGAACTAAGTGGCCTGCGTGCTCACCGGCCACCACCAAGTGGCCCGCGTGCTCATTGGCCACCACCAAGTGGCCCGCATGCTCATCGGCCACCAAAACAGTGTACAGATCAACGAAACGATGAAATACGCGTAACGACAGAACAAGTTAAAATCCGGAAGACTAAGAAAGCCACTGGTGGCCGAGTCACATCGAAACGGCTCAGCCAAACTAATGGTTCGGCCCATAGCTAGGTCACCAAGGGTGGCTAGGCCAAGGCCGAGCCACCATTTGGTGGCTAGGCCAAGGCCGAGCCACCATTTGGTGGCCCGGCCAGGCCGAGCCACCATTTGGT